TACTTTTCAAAGTAAGCAGCAGAAATTTTCAACCTTGCCACACGACATCATGCAACAGTTGCCTCCTATTTTATTACTATTTTAATGCTATTTTAATACTATTTTAGTATCATTTTAATGCTACTTTAATGCTATTTTAATGTCATTTTATTGAGGGTACCCGGGGTAAGGTCCCGGGGTCAGTTGCCAAGACCTCTGAAATGAAATCTTGAGAAGTCTGTCCCACACTCACCAGTCAGAAGCGACCATGTTCAGTTCCAAGGCCCCAGCCACCAAACTCGGCGAACGCGGGGGCCTGAAAGTGCAGTACTCGCAGTTGGCTGAATGCGAAAACGCATCGAAAACAGCCTGTATGTTGCAACTAGAACGCAGTTGGAGTTACTGGGAGAGCAAGAAAACATGTTTCCTAAGAACTGTGTCGGGACGGTATTGGCACAGAGCAGTATGCCACGGCAGCTTTGAAAGATGACAATAATGTCCCGGAGTTAGCAGCATCCCTGCGTGCATTCAGGCACATCATGAAGCCAGTGCCTCAGTGTTCATCAGCAAAGCTTGGTCGAGGGGACCACGTGGCCATTCTCGCCATCCCAGCCTCAGGACGCGCTTCATTGTGTCTCTCTGGGGCACGTTCGGCCTTCATCTCAGTTTTATTCCTCCTGAGCACTCAAAGATGCTTATCACGTCTTCGCGCATGCAAGGCCTTGAGCTGGACCTAAATGCGCTCCCCAAGGAGGCTACCCTTTGCCAACTATTGAGACATCGTGGATCATGTCGTAATTCCGGTTCATCGAAACAGCAATGCAAGACTTTCAAAACCTGACAAGGAGCTCGACGAGGTTACAGAGCTCGTAGCGCTGAGACAGAAACTATGCAAGGCCATGGGAACTGCTAGGAGGGTTGAACCTGACAAGCTGTTGCTTGCTGGGCAGGTGACGCTGCATGGCAGCTTCTTCAGACTGCCAGGCTCGGATTTGCTTTGCTGTTCGGAAGTTCATCATGGCCGATACAGATTTGACATCTGCTCCGCAAATGCGACATATGCCTGAAATTGAAGTGAGTAGTCAGACACCGAGCATCATCCCTGACTTTCTTGAGGCTTCGGCTATCCTGGAGCTGCTCAGGGCAACTCCGCGGGCATTGGTGATTCCCACGTCCCGCGCTTGCATGAAGCTTTTGGACGGGTAATTCTGTATTCACGTGTCACATCTTCCATGCCCAAGATGCGCATTTTCAGAATCTCTTCTTCACAGTATCCGAGAGCTGAGGTCTATGCCTGGATGTTTGACGCTTGGCCAGTTGGTTTTGATCGCCGTGTAGTCTGAAGCGCTTGGTTGCCTGTCGAAAACCTGCACTGCTCTTATGAGTACTTAAGACCGAATCAAGCATACATGTACCTGCCTTTTCCATACGCCCTGCCAGGTATCGCCAGAGCAGGACCACGCCGTTGTCAGTGCGATCATCTTCCATCACGATACGGCGCGCTTCCCAGGGACAACCACTTCGCGTCTCTCATAAGTTTACGACTGTCACTGTAGCTGTGAGATGTGCAAGCTTGAGGTCGGCAAGTTCCCGTCTCGATTAAAGCTACGTGGTTTGAGGCTGGCTTGTTTCATGCAAGGAATGCAAATCAGTTACATGCGGCAGCAAGCTGCTTCAGATTCATGTTCGTCACGGTCAGGATGCAACAAACATATTTGCTATCAGGCAAGAGTGCCAATACAGCATCCTTGAGCATGTCACGGCCTTGATCGGGGTTGCGTTTGTTTTCCATGAAGTGTCTCCGCCACATGGATTGATGCTGGCTGCATGTTTTTGAAGAAGGGCAGTGCTTGACTGGCGTCGCAGTGACTCAGTGGTAATCAAGACAGATTCGCAGAGAACGTGGGCATCTTGAAGTATCGTGTTGGACAGCAGCATGTAATGGATGCTGGCAAAGGTTCCAACTTTTGCCGATGAAGGCATTTTCAATGGTGTCTGGCCTTAGCAGATTTCCGCCTTAAGTAGCTCTTCTGGTATGCCATATTGTGCGCCGTGATTTCCCTACACATGCGTGGAAGTTTCAAGGCATCTTCCAGCCCGGTGGACCGCAATTCAAGCACCGCAGGCCAGCGCAGAGTTGCATGAGGTAGTTGCCAATGTGTACCCCAAAAGCCCTCCGACGTATTTCAATGGAAGGCGGTTGATGTTGACAGGATCGGCACGGGACTCTGAGATGTTCTGACAGTGCAGCTTGAGTTGCTTGATTGCCATGACCGCTGCCACGGCACGAAACAGCTCAGGTGCTCATGGAGGTAGGCATCCCAGTGCACTTCAACTTTGATGGCGACTCCATGCTTCTGGAGCTGCAGGCCTCCACACTTTGCACCTAACATGATTTATTGGTCAGCCACGGAGCGCTTGTGCGACAGCTGTTCGACAAAGTGGATTTGGCACATGTCCTCGTGCATCGGAGCTTGTGTCAACGTGCATAGAGGGGGCAGCCCTGTTTGCATGCCAGGTTGTCAACGGTTAGGGCTGAAAGCTCTTCGGCGGTCTGTGCCACAGAGCTTTGGAGAACATGCAAGCCGTGTCACGGCCGCACGGGTTCTGGACAAATCGGAGCCCGCCAGGTGTTTGCTTTGGGGCGCTTCCGGGGTTCTGCAGTTCACGGTTGTCCTAAATTCGCAGCAAGACTGTCGGACCCCGGAAAAATTGTTTGAGACCGCTCCAGTGCACTGACCTGATAATCTTGTTATCTGCAGCACAAGGGCCTATAGAAATGGCGAATCATATCATATCGCGTGTGGTTTTTTACACCACAAGCCGCCCAAAACTCAAAGTGTCCTTGAAGAAGTCATGACAGTAGCAACGCCCAATGCTCTGTCCACGCTTTTGCTGCGTGAGCCCTTGTGAAGCAAGGAGCCAGGCTGGACCATGTTTTCCAATCTTCTGGGTGTGTACAGCCAGTCCACGAAGCCACTCCTGACATACTTCGAAATACATTTGAATGTAGTCGCGCTTGTCTTTTTGCCTCCATCAGCTTGATTCTTCTTCTGCAAGGAATTGAACAGTCATGCGCACAGACAGCTCGTGTTGAATTTCTTGTGTCAATAGATCATCCAGCTACAAAACAAGCTTCACTGCAATTGTAATTTTGAGCCAGTCTTGGAGAACACAAGGCTTTAAAGCCAAGCGCAAAGTGTCCTGTAGGGCCGAATTTACCGTAGATTCGACCATGAGCCACCGTGGTCGGATGCCTTCCGTATCAGGTTTGGCATAATCCACATACCTGACTGCGCAGTCCTTTTGCTGCTGGGCATTGCCCAGCGGGTCCCAACTGCTTGGCAGATTCCGTGCGGGAGGTGGCCAAAGCCCGGGAAGTACCTGACAAAAGGGCATGGCTTGGGCAGCCAGTGCAGGCAGGAATCTGGAGAAGATGTTTGAGAGGTCGGACTGAGTCCACGTCAAAACTGCGCGCAACGTGATGCTGGCTTTTCTGCTCAAGAGTAACAACTTACTTGTCAGGCATGTTTCATAAGGCGAGCAGTGCAAGATCGGTTTCGTGTTTGGGAGCATCCCAGCACTCAGACATGCAACGCACAGTTGCATCCAGTCCCCAGCAAGTAAGTCTCATCCTGTGCCGTGCCGGGGGCTGGCAGTATGGCAGAGGCGCGGGCGCACCTGGAAGGGATCTTGGATCGCTGGGCTTTGAGCGAGGGCAGACGCGTTTGCCGTCGAGTTGCAATGCACGGAAGGAGGGCGAAACCGTGGAGGTTTCTTTGGAGCCGTACGTAGCCCAGCACTGGCACAGCACCGGAATGACGTTAAAACGCAGAGATCCAGCGGAGGAATTATAAATATGATGTGTGGACATATGTGGACTCACGTCTCATTATCAGGCTCGTTCAGGCTCACTTGGCATTGTTGAGGATTTGATTTGCTGGCATGCGATCCGAGGCATGCAGGCTGAGGCTGTCAGCCATCAGCTAGCAAGCTTCAGGATTCGCTCAACTATCTGTTGGCTGGCATCTGCATATCCCAGATCACGTGGTGTGAATGTCCCACAATACCCCTGGCCCGGAAAAGGCTTGCAAATACCGTTCTCGGAACTGGCCGTAATGATGTGCTCCTGCATGACAAGATGATTCAACATATGGCGGCTCGGAGACATTCAACACCCTTGCTCCAAGGTCCCCGGATGAGGAGGCTGAAGCGTCGCCGTGCGCTCAAGTTTATTCAGCTCATGCTCATGGCTTGCCAGGAACCGGCAAGGGTCCATGGGGTCTCAGTAAGGCCGGATGGTGAGGAGGCAGAAGCCGAGGCAGCACTGGACCCAGCGGAACCGCTTGTTCATGACTGAGCTATGCTGAGCTGAAGCTTGTACGGCAAAGGATGCGGCTGCCGAGCCTGCAGAAGAGGTGGAAGAAGGCCTGCAGATGCAACATAGAGCTTCACAATGCTCGGGTTCTTTGGCGTGTCGAGTGTACATGTCTGTCTCAAACATGTCTTCTTCTCCTCTCGGTGAGCCTCCTGACTTGGGCAGCTCCGCAGCTGACGGAGACAGACATCCTGGTCGGCTGCCCTGGGATGCTAACCTGCTTTCACCTGCCGTTGCGGCTAACGAGGTCGTGGTAGCTGTTGATGCAGTTTGTTACCGTTGCATGTTCAACTTCCTGCACGTAAAGCATGTCCTCGAAATGGCCAGAGCACCACTATATTTTTCATTATCATTCATGATCTCATTGATTCATGTGAGGGATTTGCTCTGAGGTGCGAATGGGCACCTGTTCTCCAGCTGCAGGCGAAAGTGGCCTCAAAGGCATTTTCATCAATGTTCAGTGCTGAGTTGTGGTCTCCGTTGCTGTTCAGGTCACACATTGCAATTATTGCTTTTTGGAATCCTGAGCTGAACTGCTGCAGCATGTCCTCAAAGGTTCGATGCGCGGGCAGCATGCATACTCGCAGCCCTGGCTCTAGTCGAGGATGAATCACACTGAAGACATGCTTTTCAGCCTGACAAAACTTTGGCAACCAAGCGGATTCATGGTCACAGTTGGCCTGTAACGATTCTTGGTCAGAGCTTCATACCAATGTGTCGCCATGGCATCTTCGTCTTCGAGGGCGCGGCCCACGCCGCCCCCTCTGCGGCTGACCCTCAAGAGCCATTGGGCAGATATTCAACTGCAACGCGTGTAGCCGGGCATGGCGCGTGGCGCCTGATGTGTAATGTGCCGTGACGTTGCCAAGCCATCTGTCTGTTAAGATGTTTACAACCACCAAGCAGCTGAGCTTTTTGATGGTTAGGACATGAGCAAGAGTTCCTACCCGCGAGACTCAGGCTTCGACAAGCTCACGCAGACGCTCGCACTGCAAGAGAGATGTCTCACAGTAGCTGTTTCGGCATGCTTTGAGCATCTGGATTAGGTCATCTCGCTGTAAGGCAGTGACATGCAGTGGCAAATTCCCGCTGCAGGATCTCGATGAAGGTCAGATGGATAGACGAACATGGAGAGGACACTGCATGTTCCTTGCTTGCCCCGCTGGTTCCCGAACCAGTGTCGTCGCGTTTGTCAGTAATGTCAGCCATAAGGAATTGCAGGTAGTGGCAGCTGCATCCGTGAGAGGAGCAGACGTGGAACTCCTGGGAAGATGCCCTTTGTGGACGCTTCGGGGCCACAAAGATCCTCCCCGCTGGCAGCACAGAGATTCAGGCCAAGCTTCTTGCGGTCTCTGGTCTGTTGACAAGTGCTTGGGCCAGCTGCTGGGGCAGTTTGCATTTTGGAAGTGATGTTGGCCTCCTGGTTTCTCTGGCGCCGACGTTCTTCAGCCAGGTTCGCTTCCGTTCTCAGCCTGGTGGTCGAAAGGCAGCTCTTTTGTTCACTCTCCTGCAGGGACCGTGTTTGGCAGATTCAGTGTGTTGGCATGTCCAGTCTTTGTGCGTAGGTGCATGGTGTTGACCGACGGAATCGCTCCGCTTGGACACGCCAGGGAGAAGAGGCAGAACTGAGAGATCTGAGAGATGATACATGATCATGAGGCTGCAGGGCATGCCAGGATTGCTAGGCCGAGCCCAAGTCCGGCTGCACATTCCCACTTGAGGAAAGTTGCGGCTCCTTCAGCACCGTCTGCAGGTCATTGAACTGCGTCCCAGTGGCTTGGACGAGGCCCTTGCGTATGATGCTTGTTGTTGTTGTTGTTGTTGTTGTTGTTGTTGTTGTTGTTGTAGTTGTATCTTCAGTGGCATGGCCACCGCAAGATCATACAAGATCATGCAAGCGCAGGATGTCAATTTGGTCAGTCATACTTGTAAACGCTGGCCGCGTGTGCGCGCGTGCGCCCTCCTCGGCCATGACAGTGTGTTCCGCGCGGGAGGGCTGCAGCACACCAGTCACATCTCAAAGGGTTTGCAAGGCCCTCGGAATACCCGAAGTACTCCATCTACCCAGAGGTGCCCGGGCAAGATCCGCAGTGGACTGGTAGGCACTGGAGGAGGGTAGCGCAAGGCTCCGAGAGCGAACTTAGGGTAACAGAGAAATGTTTCACTTCACTGAAACGATGAAGATAGGTGTGACGATCGCAGATCCCTCCATGTAGCGGGGGACGATGAGGGACGCAAGCCCAATGGTGGCTGGACTTTCCCTGCTGCTGGCCTGGGGGGGGATTTTGGCCAGATAGACGCCCTGAGGTTATATGCCTCAGCCAATATCGCTTGCTCACTTTGTGAGTGAGCTGATTTTACACATTTCGTGCTTTCTTCCCTGGCAAGTTGGAAGGTCAGCGGCAGAGGCGTGGATGCCTGGTTCGAGATACGGGGTCCGATAACGCACCATGCCACGAAATCATTGCAGTCCGTGCTTTCAGCAGCAGAGCCTCCCAGTACCGCCGCTTGTACTCTTCTTCATAGCATCCATATGGAAGCGTGTCCCAGTGCTTGCCATACATAAGGTGCCCAGAAGGGGCCACAACTGTGACTGCTTATGTCATGAATCCTTTGTAATCTGAGGCACTGCCACGTGGGCTGCTTAGCAACGATCTGAAGTCTTCGAGCATATTTGCATAGCTGCCGCTGCAAAACAGGATGAGAGTCCTTAGAGTGTCCTTAGGAATTCATGCTGCAAGGTCTGGCGCGCATGGAATTCCTGCAACGAAGGCATGCCTGAAAGTTGGGAACCTTGAGCAGCACCTGACGTTTCTTGCGCTTTGCCAAGTTTTTCTAAGTGCAGCTTCAGTTTTTTGGTTCGATGCATGAAGCAATCATTGACTGGCGCGCCTGTTGCCGAGGAATGGTGGCCGGATTTTCCCGAAGAGCGCCGTGCTGCCCCTCCGGCCACACTGCAGGCCCATAGGCTTTGGCTTCACTTTGCCAGAGCGAGCAGTCCTGCCTCAGGCAGCAGATGCTGCTGCTCCTTGGCCGGGCTTAGCAGAGGCCAGTCATGCTTTCAGTCTAGAGTCATTGAGCCATGTTCCACTTCATGTCAGCATGGCAAGCCAAACCATGCGATGCTCCTTCACAGATGTCGCCAACATCTGCTTCATCCGATGAAGCAACCTGTGCCAGCGCTGTCACAGGTGCCATGTCGAGGTGGGAGTTTTTGTGCGTCAGCATGCGTGTGAACATTTGCTAGTCCGGTGAGGTTTGCCCGTATGCTATGTGCGCAGCACCCGGCTTGAAGGCTTGTCGCGGCAGCTGCTGTGCTGCTGGCTGTGCGCCGACGAACGTTGAGGTAATCGCGAGTATGAGGTCACAGGAAGTTGTCACCGGTTTTTGCTTTCAGTCTTTGCAGGACACTTGAAGAGCTCAACGGGCAAATAACAAAGCAGAGCCTGGACCGCACTGGAAGCACTTAAGAAGATTGACCACCCTGAGCTTCTCACACTGTGTTAGGCCCAAGGCTCTCACTCAGGCCAGCGTACCCTGCTCCATGCCAACGTGGTATGCTTGTGCAAATGCGTCTTGTTTTGCAGATTCCCTCGCCCAGGTGGTACAGAGCTGCATGGCTGCAATCTGTCGCAAGATTATCGTACGAGTAGGTAGGAAATTCCGCGGGCCGACTGTTATGAGACGCTGCCCAGGTGAACTCAGGCAACACTTTGGCAGCCGGCTTGGCGGTATCGAACCCATTTTCTGAGAAGCCAAATGCATAAGAGCATGCATAACCCGGTGCAAGTTGGAAGAGCAGGTCGCCTCTTTCGGATCTCTCTTCGTGGCGCCTCCATTGACGATTGTTGCTTGGATGTCGCACAGGCTCCACCATCTTCATCCCATGAGCAGCTGTGGGCTGTGAACCTGCGAAGCTCAGCTGAGGCTTTGGGTGCTGGCAGCGCAGCTGCTGGCGTCGGGAGCAGCACGCAGGCCTCGACCTCGAAGTTCGATTCATGGCTAATGGTGTGCTGCATGCACACAGCAGTGGAGACTTGAGCAATGCAGGATGCCGTGGTTGAAGCTGTGCCTTCGAAGCAGGGTAGGATTGTCCGGGACATGTTCACATTGAACCGCTGAACCGCGTATCTTGATGCCACCGGCTGAGGAGAAGGGGCGAAGCTTGGCAAAGCTCATGGAGACTGACGTGAGTGAGCAGCTTCTTGGTTTTGCATCAGAATGTAACAAACGGTTTTTCTGACCAAGTTGGATCAATGGGGATGCAGGCTTGCGTTCGAGTCTGTGGAGTCCGAGCTCCGCTGCGCAGCTCCACTGAAATCCATCCTCGCCTCTACAGCTGGCCCTCACGACATCTCACGACTTACTTGCAGGCGCTCAGTTCCGCTGCGGCGCGCCGTCGCTCGTCCCCGCGTCGCCACACTGGCCGCGCGCCAGCCTGCTGCAATACGCCATGATGAACCATTGAAGTCGGTTTTTCCTTTGGGGTGCTCACTTTTGCCCAGCTGCTGCTGCCAGGTTGGCAGTTTATACGCAGACGGCGCCCCTCAGCGGCAAGCAGTCAGAGAATGTCAGCCGCAAGATGCGATTTCTGATGCCAGTTGTGCAGTTTTGTTAATCTCACCACGTGAAAATCTTTCCATCAAACTCCACCATTTCATGTAGTGCTTATCGCTTCAAGGAACCTCATGCTCGTACGGTCGGCCAAGTACGTCACGCTGACGCAGGCGCTTCTGCTGAGCTGAAATTGCATCCGTGCGTCAAGCCTTCACAGGGTGTCGTCCAACGTTTGGCATCATTCTCACAATTGTCTCCAGGCTGGTACGGAAACCATGCTGATCGCTGGCCGTGCGTCTTGGCGGCTTAAGAACATATCTGCTTCAGCGTATGTTCTCAAATGTCTTTCGAGTCCTTGCGCATTGGCTTCTTTGTAGGTGCTTGGCGGCCTGGGCGCTGGCTTGGCCGTGGGCGTGGCTGTTGGGGGCTGAGAGATGCAGGTTAGATTTAACGGTTAGATCTGGTGATTGTCTCTAGGCTATCTAGCATGTCGCGAGCCCTTCCATTAAGAGAAAAGGCTTCAGAAACACACCAAGAGCATTAACAGAACCCAAAGTGCACCAACAGCACTCAAAGAGCGCACATCACCAGCCTGTTACTGTAACGCTTAGAGGAGTGTTGGCAGGAGCACGAATATTAGGGATAGAAGTGATGGAAGTGTCAGAAAGAAAGGTTTCCATCCGCACAGGGCTACTCTTGACAAGAACCAAAAAGAGAGGAATGTGAGCTGGCACGTTGTTGCAACCGCATGCAAATCGAGTCTGAACATGGAACTGTCATGAAATTTCGACTTCAAGTCCCTGAGCGCATTGAAAAGGGCACCGATGAACACAAAGCGTGACGACTACGGAGGGTTGATGCTGGCGAGTTCTTGAGACCAAGGTGCATGGCTGGTCTACTACCAAGCCCATGCAGATACTCGGCCAAGTAGTTGCACCAGTCACAAGCGAGAAGGCCGTATGAGGGCTTGAACGTCTTGGACTGAATGGCCCATAATGTCAATCAGCGGGAAGGCTGCAAGCAATGCGCCTACAATATGATCCAATTCGCTGCACATTGAGGAAGCTGGTCCAGGAGAAGATAGCTGAAGTCGAGCGCTCCATTGAATACCTCGTGTCTTGGCAGCCTGAACTCCTGGCGTGCCAAAAGCATGGTTATCACTTATTATCATGAGCATTCGTGATCATTTTGTGACACTCCCTCAGAGCTTTTTCAGGATGGGGTGCATCAGCGCATTTCTGGCGCTCTTCGCTGTCCTTGCTGTGAGGCTTCTTGCTTCATGTTTCTTGTTATACTATATTGGGGAAACCCTATTATTTACTATATATACCCATTATACAGTTCGACATAAAGCTAAAGCCTTTTGAGGGCCTCGTCCCTCCGCAGGAGCCTCTGCGGCTGGGCGCCTCGTCTGCGCTGCGGCGCTGCCCGCAGTTTCACTGCCACTTGGCTGCAGCTCGTTTTAAGTCAAAAAAGCAACCGCGTGCCGAAGCGTTTTGCTTGCAGAGACCGATCATGCAAAGGCTTCCACGCTGCCTGCGTTGGGGAGGCCAAAAGTTTTGCGGTATCTGGCATAAAGTGCGAACCGTCTTGTGAATGCCTCTGACTTCCTGGTTCCTTGTCTTCTCAGGACGGCAGCTGCCCACTCTGCGCCACCTCGGTGAGCGATGTCCCGGCGTCCAAATTGGAGAGATGTGCTTGATGTAATGATTGTAAGCGCTGTTCGATTCAGAGCAAAGTAGTTATTGTTTCTGCGTGCATTTCTTGCTTGAAGATGTTTGCTTGAAGATGCCACGCCTCTTTTCCTAGCATCCTCCCGTCCCGAGCTCCTCTTGTTTGCTGGCGAACAGCCCCCAAGCCCATCATAGTGAGTTCTGTTATAACTGGCGCTTCATGTACCCTTTGTGCACCTGAGTTGCGGTCTTCTGAGCAGCTTCCGGCACTGCTGGGCCTGGTGGGACTGCGCAACTCAGCTGTGGAAGCTTTGTAACGGGATCCCATGGCACAGCCTTCCATGTTGTCAGGTGATCTGTGTGCGTTGACAGTGGACTCCATCACGGTTCGAAAAGGCCTTTCATAGGATCAACTTGTCGATCCTCGAGTGCTACTATGGGTTGCTGAACGGGCTCTGTAGAATTATGCATTTGTGCTCCAGCAGAATTTGCATCAGTGATGACCCTGCGCAGGTGCCGAACTTGTGCAGCGTCTCGGGGGCCGCATGGACGAAGTTCGACGGCTCATCTCCGGGGTGCAGAAGGTGCACAGTGGTGCATTGCTATCAGTGCCACGTTGCATCAGGATGCTGTCTGGCTCGATGTCTTCTGAGGAGACTGATGAGGGGAGCTGCCAGCAGGGCGAAGAGACGCCCAGCAGCCGACGCCGTCAGGAACAGGCGCTTGTGGCGATCACCGCGCTGAGAGAGGTAAGCTGTGCTGCACAGGCTCTGCATGAGGATGCGGATACGCACGAGGCCAATACATGCTTCCCTCCCGTACCTTGCAACATGCTATGGATGTGGCTTCCTGGCACCAGGCCTGGCAAGAAGCGCTGGCTCAGCGGAGCCCTGCCGACCTGCAAGCTGAGGAGCTGGAAGCTCTGCTTCTAGGCCTGCAGAAGCTGATAGAAGCTGCCACATGTTCTGAGAGTCGCAACCTCACGTGAGCTGCCCACCCCTGCCCGGAGGGCGCCGTGGGATGCCTCTGAAGCTTCTTGGTTCATCTCAGCTTAATTTTGGGCTCAGATTTCTGGGCTGTGATTTCAGGAGTCCAATGCATTTGAATTCTTTCATCCCCGGAACCTTGCAACCTATCACCGATGCGTACGTGAGAAGAGTAGGGAGACCGAGACGTGAGTGGATCACTGAAACTAGGAACAAGGCTTTTCACTTTTTGGGCGGCCACTGTGAAATCACCAGACTTGTACAAAATCCTGTTGTCTGGCACCACACTGTTGGTCAGCTCTTACTCGTCCACGCGCCGCCCGGAGTATGACTGACTGACTGACACCCAGGTACCGCCACCTCCTTTGGCCAGAGCTGCTGTCAGGACCTAAGACAAGCTCGGGTTCAGTCGAGGAATTCCTGTTGCATTCGTTTGTAGGCTTCAGACTTGTTTGAGTACTTGCACGGCCAAGTAAGCCGACTCACCTGGTGCCAAGACATGGACCTGGCACTGAGGCAGCTTCGCAAGGAGGATTACCAGGCATCCATGCGGTAGCCGCACAGATTGAGGAGAATCCTTCTCGTTTCCACATTGTTGGGTTTCCGGCCTGAGCAGGCACTAGCTGTGGCTGAGCTTCCCCAAAAGGCGAGACAGCTTCTCGCAGATGTGATGACTTGATTTGTTGATGGGTTTCTCCGAGCTGTTTCTGTGCAAGATGCGCAAGGTGTTGGAGCAGATCGATGCGGACGTTCCGCGCACCAGGCCCAAAAAAGCCGAAAGTTCTAGCTTGGTGGCTCTCGTTTGGCACGAGGCGCGATTTGGTTTCCCCGGAGCGTCGAGATGCGCTGCGTCGTGTTCTCCGGGCTGTGGCGGCGAAGCGGCCCAGTGTGGGTTACGCGCAGGGCATGAGACTGGGCCCGACAGCTGTTGGCAAAGGTTGTTGTGCATGTACGGGCATCAAAGCTGCAGTGCCACTGAGGAATCAGCTTGCTGCAGTGTTGCTCAAGCTTGGATTCGATGAAGACAAATCATGTTGGATGATGGATGCCATCATGGAGGAGAAAGCTTGATGCATGGGGTTTCAGTGCGTGTTCTTCTTGGCTGGACCGCAGGCTGTCGTATTGTCTGCCTATTTGGGTCTACCACGATACAGCATGTTTCAAAGTAGGACCCTTATCATCATGTTTGGACCCATGGAGTCAAGGGACAACTATAGCAGTGCTAGCAGAGCGAGGTGATTGCAGAGGCACGCATACTAGATCAGAATGCATAAGCGGGTATCTGGTTGGTTTGCAGTGCTTGAACGAGGCGGACCTTGACACTTGGGCCCCCCAGAACCAAGCAACTTTGCGAGAGATGACCGCCCAATTGTTCTTCAAAGATTCGTTTTAGAGGATTGCATGTCTGAGAGCTTGTGGGGCTCAGTGTGAGCCTTGTCGAAAGGATGTTTCGGAGGTGAGCCCGCTGAAGCCAGGAGCTGCTTCCTGGCTGCCACAATCCAGATTTGCACGGCTTGTTCCGTGACACTGGAGTGGCCGAGCTTCGGAAGCAATGTATGCAGTTTTGGGAGCACACCTTGGATTTGAGTATGCGCTCATTCCAGCGGTTGCGTGGCTTGAGCAGGATGTGCTGATCCAGACACTCGGCTTCCAACAGGCTGCAGGGCGCTAGGCAGTGAATGATCCTGCTTTTGAGGCATGCTGTGTGTGGTAGCTGAAAATTGGGATAGCAGATCAGCCAAGCTGCTGTAAGAAGCGAACCGGAAGCAGACCCGGCGTTTTCAGCAGTGACGGCTAGCATCTGGCCGTGCCCTTGCGCCTCGCACGGTTCTGTACTGGCGAAGTTCTTGCCCTCAGGACATTCTTGCCGAACCATGCCATGTTCTTCGAGTCAGCAGGCATTGAGGTGCCAGGGAGGGTAGGCGGTTTGGCAAGAAATTGGCACCCATTATTGAACAAAAACAAGCCACCTTTGATTGGTCAGCTCGTTTGCCTGCCAGAAGGTGCTGTGGTTTACAGTTGACTACTTCATAACGCTTGGCTCGGCAGACTCGTCGTTGCGCAGCTGCACCGCGATACGATGCAGACAGTTTTAACGTGCGAGATTTGAAGATGTGCTTTACAAGATCTCCATTCACAGCCCAGGCTCCCTTTGATTGCGACCTTGTGGGACTGACCCCATGCCTTTGTCAGAGTTTAGCCAGTCCAAGAAGATAATAAGTGTGCTTGATGTATGTTGTGGGTGTGTCTAGGGCCTAGGCCAGGCGCTGAGGCACCCGCTCCCTTCTTGCCTGTAGGATCTGTGCTTTCTCTGGGGTCCGCGCGGGCTCTTCAGCCTCTTGGCAAGCTAATCCCAATCTCTAGCAAGGCAGTAGCTATCCAAGAACGAGCTGAGTGGCATCTTGTAATTTTGTTGTGGCATGTTGTGGCCTTGAATTGGTGTAAGGCGGCTTCCTGGCCGTGTTGGAGATGCACTTCCCAATGCCAGGCACACGTGCAAGGGTCTGCCGTCCTCGGAGTGCGCGCGAGATACAGCCACACTTGACTTATCGGTACTTGGAAACAAGTTTTACTTGTTGCATATAGTCCTTCGAAACGGCCAACATTTTTCTTTCTCAAAGGGTTCCCAGTTCAGCATAGTTGACATATGTACAAGAACACTGTCGACCACATGCCTGAAACACGTGCAGGTGATGTTCAAGAACGGAAGGATCTCCACTCAAAGGGACAGAGTGCACGATCTATGAATGGTTTGCCCAGACATTTGCGGACAGGCTGTGCGCACCGTATGTACCAAGGCCTTATCCGAGCCCGAAGTGCTGATGGCTCGGTACAAGGACCTTGTGAATATTTGTGAATGCTCTTGCTTATGCTCACAGGTGTCTTTCGCAATCCGGTAATTCCTGTGCAGGAGGCACTTGCTGAGGACGGGAGATCCTGCTCAATTCTTGTTGTGCAGTAAGTAGCATGTCATGTCCTTGATCGATGGCCTGCCTTGGCAGGCATCTGGCGAGGGCCTTGCCGTGCCATGGCGGCAGACTTGCCTGATTCATTCAGCTCTCTAAGCATGCACAAGATACTTGATTTGTGCTCCAGTGTGAAATGGCAGTCAGGATTGTGTGGCAGACTTCCTGCACGAGCGCCAGGCGGGGCATCTGCTAGGGTCGCTGGCGCTCGGCTTAGGTCATCTACAATGTAGGCAACATTTGACAAACATCTTGCCCCATGAGCGACTTGCCCGGCAACCTGGCGCATCCTCATGCTGCCTTTGAGACCTCATCAGAGATCTCCAGAGCATGCAATGTAAAACTATAGCATCTGCCTGCACCTGGAAGGGAGGCGTTTCTTCAGAACTTATCGAAAGTCTTCGAAGCTCCGTGGCTGGTGTGGATACATGAGGCACGCCAGCTGGTGGGGGTTTGTTTCGCATCAAGCACTTGCATCTCTTGTGCATTGAGTCACTCTTTTTGCACGGCACGCAGCTCTTTCAACTGAGCATGGACAGCGGCCAGTTGAATTTCGTCAGCATCAGAGACACGCATTCGAGTAGTGTGCAGCTCTTGCAGCATCGAAGCGTTTTGTCACACCTTTGCTCTGCAGGCGCGCTGCCGATACCACGCTACCACGGTTTCTTTCTGCCAGGAGGGAGTCCAAGATGGATCCCCCATGGAAGCCGGCGGGCGCATTCAAGTGCAGTTGCCAGTCATCATCAATCACCAAGAGTTAGCAGATTTTGCGCTTTTGTGTGAGAGCATAGGAACCTTCATAGTCAAGTCCCAGGTTCATCTCTGGATTGCACCGTCTGCCCCATGCTTTGTACATAGACCCATGTCCTGGCTTTTCCACCATGGCCAGCACAGACTGGCTGGCAATCCTCTTTGCACACGGGCAGTTCACAAAGTGTAAGGCATTGGCTTACGAAATTCCCTCAAACGCATTGACCGATTTGAGTACTGCAGTTGTGAAAACGCGATTCCCGTAG